CATAAAAAATACACTTTATATGTAGGTTTAAAATTCTACAAAAGACACATTTAATGTCCAAAAACATTCATAAATTTTTTTAGCAAAATGTATATTTTACTCAGAATTATTGCACTCCTATTCGATTGCGCTCTGTCCGTTTAGCGTGCATGCGCATCCACTAGTAATTATATATAAATAAATATTTTTTTACCCGATGCAAATATGTTAGAAACGATGCATCGCGATATAAATGCTAACTTGTAGCCGATGCATGCTTTTTAAACCGCTCGTTAACTTTTTATGCCGATGCACCGAGCGAATCGAGGAATCTGACCAAGAATTAAATCTGAACTTCTGAAGTTTGTGGGAATGTTTTAAAAACATTTAGTTCTGCCTTCACCATAAAACCTATACGGCTATACAGAGTAGCTGTTAAAAACACTGTTTAGCCTAATTATGAGTGTTTTAGCCTGTTATATTCTCATTTGACCCTGCAGATCGGCGACAATGGTGCGCTATTGGCATTCTTCTGGCCATCCTGTTTGTCGTGATCATCTTCTTCATTGTTCTGTGAACAGCACTCCTCCGTCCTCTGCCACTACTCCTGCGAACGGTCGCTCCAGCGAAGGTGCTTTGGAGACAAACAAACCCTTTCTCCATCTTTAGTCCACGATACAGTAGAATGCTGCTGCTTCGTAACCTTTTTGCTTTCTTATAAACAACCCAGGCTGAAAACGAATGGGTAACATGGCGTGTAAAAACAAGGGCTGTTTTTTCGCAAGCGCATTTTCAGTTTGGCGATAATATGGTCTGAATCATTTCATACGAGTTGTGTCGTAATCCAGGGTAAATCATTTCTTTCCAATGGACCATGACTTTTAATGCTTAAAGGGATAGTTTGGCCAAAAATGAAATTACCCCATGATTTACTCACCCTCAGCCATTCTAGGGTGTATATGACTTTCTTCTTTCATACGAATTAGGGATGTGCATCTCATGACTGAGGCCGATACGATACGCATCTCGATGTATTGCCAACGATACGATACATTAAAGATACATATGAAGCAGCTACCGATGCGGTGCGATATGATTCACCCCGTTACGATGCAGTGCGATCCGATTTCGATTCGATGCAATACGATGCAATGGACAAAATATGATCACTTTTAATGCCTCGAGGCCTGTTTCATAAAACAAGTTAACCAAATAAGCCAGGCTTATTTCAGTTATCTGACTCATTGTCAAATGATTTGGTTCTATAAAGCAAATTTAACATGGGCCTAGATCAAGTTTAGTCACTGTGGCAACTTATGCTGGGAAAATTTGAGCACTGTAGCCTACTAGCTTACGTTTGATTTACCTATTACAGTAGTCCACTTGCAGTTACTGCTATCATAAAAAATACACTTTATATGTAGGTTTAAAATTCTACAAAAGACACATTTAATGTCCAAAAACATTCATAAATTTTTTTAGCAAAATGTATATTTTACTCAGAATTATTGCACTCCTATTCGATTGCGCTCTGTCCGTTTAGCGTGCATGCGCATCCACTAGTAATTATATATAAATAAATATTTTTTTACCCGATGCAAATATGTTAGAAACGATGCATCGCGATATAAATGCTAACTTGTAGCCGATGCATGCTTTTTAAACCGCTCGTTAACTTTTTATGCCGATGCACCGAGCGAATCGAGGAATCTTCCCATCCCTACTACGAATACAATTGGAGTTATATTAAAAAATGTCCTGGCTCTTCCAAGCTTTATAATGGTTTTTAATGGGATTTTAGAGCCCAAAAAAGTGCGTCCATCCATCATAAAAAGTGCTCCACAAGGCTCCGGGGGTGAATAAAGGCCTTCTGAAGCGAATTGATGCATTGTATAAGAAAAATATCCGTATTTAAAACTTTATAAACTGTAATCTCTAGGTTTCGCTAACTGTGGTACACGTGTTCATAAGAGAGCAGCGTTCCAGCGGATGGCGTAGGTGTAGCGTAAGCTCTGGTGAGAAGCAACAAACGCGTAAGCACGGAGGAGAGAGCAAAACAAAACAGCAGTCATGATTTAGAAGTACAAAACGAGGATTTGTAATGAAACATGTTGGAGGATTTCAATGTAAGACTAGAGGATTGTTTTTTCTTTGCTGTAAACAAAACTTGGTTCTCGCGAGACTAGCATATTCTCACCGGAGTTTACGCTACGCCTACGTCATCCGCTGGAACGCCACTCTCTCGTGAACATGAGTACGACAGTTAGCGGAAGCTAGAGATGACAGTTTATCACGTTTTAAATATGGATTTTTTCTTACACAAACGCAACACTGTGGAGCACTTTTTATGATGGATGGATACACTTTTTTGGGCTTCAAAATCTCAGCACCCATTCACTGCCATTATAAAGCTTGGAAGAGCCAGGACATTTTTTATTATAACTCTGACTGTATTTGTCTGAAAGAAGAAAGTAATTTACACCTAGGATGGCTTGATCATGGAGTAATTTTCATTTTTGGGTGAACTACCCTTTAAACAGCTGAAAGAATCAAGTGCTACTATAAAATATTGCTGGCGTTATTTCCTGTGCACTGCTTTAATAGTCGGTATAGACCACTGTAAATAATCAACACTAACTACTAATTTACTAAACACTGGAGTTTAACAAACCAGATACTGTTAAGCGGGTATGTTACTGATCATACTAATGCTAATTAGTTATTTACTGTCAAAGTGTTTATTTCTGTGTGCTTTGTTTACTTTTGAGTTATCGATAATCAGTTACTAGTGAGATTTATTCACACGCACTGCGGTTTGTTTCTTTGAACTGAATGGAATTGTGTTTTTAATGGAAACGTTGATGTTAAACTCTCGGGATAACTGCCTAAAAGTCTTTAAATAATAGGTTAACAATTCAAATATTAACAAAAAATTGTGCTTTAGTAAGCATTAAATATGTGAATTGCGTGACAATTGGTTATTAATCTGTAGAAAGTCTGAAAACGGATCACTTCAGATGGAAGTGAAGTTTTGGACCAAATATATTTTAGTATAAAAGCTACATTTGAGAACTAATGGTTAAAGAAATGAAAGTGCTCCACAAGGCTCCGGGGGTGAATAAAGGCCTTCTGAAGCGAATTGATGCATTGTATAAGAAAAATATCCGTATTTAAAACTTTATAAACTGTAATCTCTAGGTTTCGCTAACTGTGGTACACGTGTTCATAAGAGAGCAGCGTTCCAGCGGATGGCGTAGGTGTAGCGTAAGCTCTGGTGAGAAGCAACAAACGCGTAAGCACGGAGGAGAGAGCAAAACAAAACAGCAGTCATGATTTAGAAGTACAAAACGAGGATTTGTAATGAAACATGTTGGAGGATTTCAATGTAAGACTAGAGGATTGTTTTTTCTTTGCTGTAAACAAAACTTGGTTCTCGCGAGACTAGCATATTCTCACCGGAGTTTACGCTACGCCTACGTCATCCGCTGGAACGCCACTCTCTCGTGAACATGAGTACGACAGTTAGCGGAAGCTAGAGATGACAGTTTATCACGTTTTAAATATGGATTTTTTCTTACACAAACGCAACACTGTGGAGCACTTTTTATGATGGATGGATACACTTTTTTGGGCTTCAAAATCTCAGCACCCATTCACTGCCATTATAAAGCTTGGAAGAGCCAGGACATTTTTTATTATAACTCTGACTGTATTTGTCTGAAAGAAGAAAGTAATTTACACCTAGGATGGCTTGATCATGGAGTAATTTTCATTTTTGGGTGAACTACCCTTTAAACAGCTGAAAGAATCAAGTGCTACTATAAAATATTGCTGGCGTTATTTCCTGTGCACTGCTTTAATAGTCGGTATAGACCACTGTAAATAATCAACACTAACTACTAATTTACTAAACACTGGAGTTTAACAAACCAGATACTGTTAAGCGGGTATGTTACTGATCATACTAATGCTAATTAGTTATTTACTGTCAAAGTGTTTATTTCTGTGTGCTTTGTTTACTTTTGAGTTATCGATAATCAGTTACTAGTGAGATTTATTCACACGCACTGCGGTTTGTTTCTTTGAACTGAATGGAATTGTGTTTTTAATGGAAACGTTGATGTTAAACTCTCGGGATAACTGCCTAAAAGTCTTTAAATAATAGGTTAACAATTCAAATATTAACAAAAAATTGTGCTTTAGTAAGCATTAAATATGTGAATTGCGTGACAATTGGTTATTAATCTGTAGAAAGTCTGAAAACGGATCAC